CAACAACCATTGCAACATCAACAACAACGACAACGAAACAAAACACACACCGCACGCCCCAAAACTACGGTTCAAATGAGGGGGAAATACTTGCTCGGTCTCGAATCACCGAAAACGGGAAAAAACATAAACAACAAAACGAAACAAGAAACGAAAGATGAAACCATAAACGGCATCTCACCACACGCAAAGATAAACTCGAAAGACGACCGCGGCGCGAAATGAAACGAACAACGACACGAACCACATACTTGACCGAAACAAACAAAACGAACAACGAAACGCAACCTTGGAATCGCGGCGAAACAAAACGCACAACGAAACGCGCACAAAAAAATATCCCGGCAAAGCAACCTAACAGCGATGTGTAGAAGCATATCTGGAAGCATTATCCTTAAGATTCAGATCAGAATCCAGTTGTAGAATTCTGCTGTTCTCACAGTCGCAGTCGCATTCGCGATGACAGTCGCAGTGGCAACGGCATTCGCAATCACAGCCTCAGCCTCAGCCTGCCTGAGTATCAGCCTGCCTCACTCTCAGCCTCAGCCTGCCTCAGCCTGCCTCAGCCTCAACCTCAGCCTGCTTCAGCCTCAGCCTCAGTCTGCCTTCAGCCTCAACCTCAGCCTCAGCCTCAGCCTGCCTCAGCCTCAGCCTGCATCAGCCTCTGCGTCTGCCTCAGCCTGCCTCAGCGTCTGCCTCAGCCTGCCTCAGCCTCAGCCTCAGCCTCAGCCTCAGCCTCAGCCTCAGCCTCAGCCTCAGCCTCATCCTGCCTCAGCCTCAGCCTCAGCCTCAGCCTCAGCCTCAGCCTCAGCCTCAGCCTCAGCCTGCCTTCAGCCTCAGCCTCAGCCTCAGCCTCAGCCTGCCTCAGCCTCAGCCTCAGCCTCAGCCTCAGCCTCAGCCTGCCTCAGCGTCTGCCTCAGCCTCAGTCTGCCTTCAGCCTCGGCCTCAGCCTCAGCCTGCCTCAGCCATAGCCTGCCTCAGCCTCAGCCTCTGCCTCAGCCTCAGCCTGCCTCAGCCTCAGCCTCAGCCTGCCTCAGCCTCAGCGTCAGCCTCAGCCTCAGTGCCTCAGCCTCCGGGCATTCAAAATGTGGCCCGGGAATGGAGTTCTGGGAAGTCGAAGAGCACGAAGTGGCCTACAGTTGGCTCCGGGCATTCAAAATGTGGCCCGGGAATGGAGTTCTGGGAAGTCGAAGACCACGAAGTGGCCTACAGTTGGCTCCGGGCATCCAAAATGTGGCCCGGGAATGGAGTTCTGGGAACTCGAAGACCACGAAGTGGCCTACAGTTGGCTCCGGGCATCCAAAATGTACGCCGGGAATGGAGTTCTGGGAACTCGAAGAACACGAAGTGGCCTACAGTTGGCTCCGGGCATCCAAAATGTACGCCAGGAATGGAAGTCTAGCAGCGCCAAGAGCGATTTTGCGAGGATGTCCCAAGCGATTTGGGTTTCGGCGGCAGCCGCCCCGGGTCCCGCCCCGACCCCCCTGTGGAGTCATCTGCTGCTCTCTTTTGACACCACTAGAAACCTATCAGTCTTCGCTGTTAGGTAAAAATGTTTGAACGTCAAACGCGTTGAAATCAATGACGAACAACACAACGGAAACACAACGAAAAACAAAACGAAACACAAAACGAGGGCCAAAACCTGACTAAACATCGTTGTGGTCGGTTCTGAATATTAGTCGGTCAATTTTTCGTCGGTTCACCCCGCCCCTTCGGACGACGAACAAAAAAATAGTCGTTCCATTTTTCGTCGCCCTTGCGCCCTCGAGTATGGAACAGGCCATGAGGGCGCGGAACATGATGGAAACGATAGTTTCGACGATTAGTAACACTCAAGCAGGGCACAGTGGGTGCAGCCCACCTGTCAGACCTGCACTGTTACCTCTATGGGGAAGGACGCACGACTTGTAAGACCACGAAACACAGCGCCCTGCAAGCGCGGCCGAAACTCCAGCTCGAGACGCGGGCCGCGAGAGAAAGAAGGAGAGCACAGGGAGGGACGAGGAAGAGAGGATGGGAAAAGAGAAGACAATGTCGTGCTTTCGTCTGGCAATTGTTGAAGTTTGAAAGATCAAGAAGTAACCACTCACCCCTCCCATGTCTGCGTGTCCTCATAAACTCCAAACTGCTCTGCTCCCCCGCCACCCTCGTCCTGCCTTCGCCCCCTCCTGTTCTTCGCCCCGATTTCCTGCCCTGCCCCTCCCCTCCCTCATGCCCCCCAAACGGGACTGGAACCCCCGAAACGGCACGTCCCGAAAAGCAATGGAGTGCAACGAAGTCCGCGCGCACAGGCACAGGCAGGCAGGCTTGGGCGCCCGAGTTATCCGGGGTAACTCGGGTCCCGGGTAACTCGGGTTTGGATTCCCGAAAAAGGAACCCGAGTTATCCCTGACCCGAGTTACCCCTGATGATTCGGGGCTCTGACAGGCGGTCGCGCGAAAAAACGGGCCCCGAGAATTCCGCTGATGCGACCCCTCGCCGCCGGCCCTGCGCCCTGGGTATCACGCATGCCCCCCAAACGGTCCCAGAGCCCCCGAAACGGCGCGCCCCGAAAAGCAACACGCGCCGGCAAGAAGCAGCACAAACGGGCGTGCAACGAAATCCGTGCGCACCGGCACGGGCAGGCGATCGCTCAGAGAAGTGCGCCCCCGAGGGTTCCGCTGGTTCGACCCCTCGCCGCGGGCCCTGCGCCCCGGGCATCGCGGGCGACCCCTCAAGAGCAAAAAACGCAAGGCCGGCGATAGCCGACGGGAATGGCGCGCCAACAGGCGCCAAAGGGAGGCATCCTCCTCTTCGGCGCCTCTGGCGAAACACCGCGCCCGCCGGCGGCGATACCAGGAAAAGGTGGCCAAATAAAGGGCCGGGCAACGACGCTGCTCACTAAACCTGCATCCCGAAAAAATCGTTCGGATTTGCATCCCTGCGGGTCCGCCGCCGCTAAGGGCCATGTGAACCTTAGTGCTTCGTTGACCGAGGATCGTGGCCGTCCAGACCACACATGTCATCGGCATCTAGGCGGAGAGCACCGCCACGTGCACCTTGGTGTATTTACTGTAGGCGATCGTGGCCGTCCAGACCAAACATGTGGCCAGCACGGGGGCGAGAGCACGAGAACTGAACAAACGTGAGGAAGCCTCAAATGAAACGGCTGCCAGACGAAACGATCTAGGCCAGGCGGTCCCTGGCTCCCCGTCCCCCCTTTGGACTCTTGTGGTCTTTTTCGCCACCATGAGAACCATCTAGCGAAAAGCTATTAGGGAACAAACGCGCTAAAAAAGTTCGAACAGACACCAGTCACCAATAGAGCTGTTACATCTCGGCGGTTGGGGTGGAGGCATTTGGAAATCAGAGTCCAGGCCCACTCGCCAAAATTTCGAGCTGGAGTCTTGCAGGACTTTCTCAGACCTCGAATCATCCCATGGGAGGTGTAGCTCTTACAAACACCGCACTCAGTGAGCTCAGTACCGTCATTACATGAAACATGAAACACCTGTGGCCGAAAATCGCCAACGACTCTGGAGTACATGCTCTGGGCCCGTCGCATTTGCCAGGCAGGAGCTTGATGCCATCCCGCAGGCGACGGATCTGAAGACAACTTCCGCAACGCCAGAACTTTCAAAAAGAAACCAGCGATGCCCATCGGGAGGATCCTTCGGAGCTTTGGGTGGTGGAGTGTGCTGCATATCATTTGAAGCCTCAAGGGGCGAAAACTCGGACAAGAGCTTAGCGGCAAGTCTGCACGTGGCCCTGGCATATTTCAGACAGAGGTCAGCACCTCCTCCTTCTCCTCCTCCTCCTCCTCCTCCTCCTCGTCCTCCTCCTCCTCCTCGATGGCTGGCGAGGGCGGCTTTGGCCCACAGGTCCGCGGCATGGCTCCCGAACCGTCGAAACGTGGCGGCACGCACAGGGGGGTGGGGGGAGGAGGGAAAGCTTCTTTCAAGAACCCCTGCTTCTTAGAAGGCGCGGGCCTTCTGTACAGATGTGGGGAGGGCGCCTTCTCAGGAGCAGCCTCCTTCCAAGAAGCCTTCCCCCTCTCCCCCTACCCCCTTGTGCCCGCCGCCAAGAATCTCGATCCTCTTCGTGAGAGGAGGAGGGGCGCGCGAGGGGAGGGGGGCGCGAGCTTGCTAACGCACCTCTGGGGCCCTCGGATGCCCTCGGAGCCTCAAGATCAACCCTCCGTGGCCGCAAACATGCCCAACATGCTTTCAGAGATGACTCCAGAATGCCCAACGCGCCAGAGAGGCCTCAGGCAAGCCCAGGATAGCCTCAAGACAGCCCAAGACGCCGAAAGAGGACCCCAAGAGGACCCCCAGGAGGGCCACGAGGAAGACAAAGCGTTGGTTTGCAATCAGTTCTTGAAATTCAAGAACTGATTCGACGCGCGGCCTCGGAATGACATCGGGCTTCATGGAACGTCGAATGGAAAACATGAAAAACCGCCCTGTGGGCTCCGAGACCCAAAATTACTGATGTGAAGGATTTCGGCTCGTCGATGAATGACCTCCGCGTTCTCCCCTTCTCGGACGTCTGCAAGCCCAACGCGGCGCGAGAGGCCCCCAAGAGCAACCCACGGCGGCCCCAGAGATGGAGACGGCCCAGCAGGGCCCCGGGCACCAGACGGCCCGAGAGCTCTATCTCCACGGCGGCAGGAAAACATCCTCAAAGGGGCCCCGAGAGGGGCCCAGTAGAGGGACCCCGCAAGTGCCCCGGGAGCCCCACAAGACTGCCCCCGAGACCCCCAACATGCCCCCAAAGGAGCCCCCAGGAAGCCCCCGATGGCCCCTCTAAGGAGGTTTTTTGCAGCAAACTCGAGAAAGCCACCCCCCCTTGGCTTCCGGGATTTCCCCAAGAAGCCCCGCAACAGCAGCGGAGGAAGAGCAAGAATAATCCTCAACAACTACACGCAAACAACACGATGGAAGATGTCAAACACCGTATGCACGTAATCCGAATCCGCACATCTCCTCTCTTCTGGGGGTCTGCAGAATGGCGTAAGCCTGTTGACCAAATACGTACCATGCATAGGCAGGTCGCCCACGGTTGACTCGATGAAGGGCGCGAGTCTGACACCACTGCCAGACTGAAGGCTCACATACTGGAGCTCGAGCTCTCCGACTTCGGCGGACTCGAGCGCAACCACCCCTTGCAGTCTACCAGGCGTTTCTAGAGCTGCAATGACAGTGTCAGCCACCTCCTTATGAGTTGACTGCTGCTCATCGTCAACGACGGACTCCAAATTGCTAATGAAAACCGACGACATCAGGGCGGTCACGATGCCAGCTGCCTTTCGCACCGATTGAAGCTCAATCGCGTCCTTGGTGCTCAGCACGGTCGAGATCTGCTCCTGGCACTCGAAGACCTCAGCTACTCTGGGAAGTGTCGCCAAAGCGTTCTGAAACGACGTCGCAAACTCGCCCTTCTTTCTCTCCTGCAGCAACGTACCCACGCGAATGCTTCCCTGGCTGCTTCGAATCGTAGCCAAGTGCGCATCCTAAGTGGTTCCGAGCAGCTTCCCTCAGCCACTCCTGGTGGATAGTTTGACGATCTGGGACCATCAGCGGGAATGACAAACCCGACTGGACAAGAACGGGATGCGCCGAAACTTCAGACATACAAGCGCGCACGCATTGGGTCACAAAACAAAATGGGGACACATGCGGCACCGTCGCTTGGTAATCCTTGAGGCTCTGGGGCGAGGCGAGGCGAGGCGCGCCTGAGTCCGCCGGGGGGCGGGGCCTTGGAAGGCCGGCGCGGGCGGGCCGGGGCCCTCAGTCACAGATGTGGGAGTTGAGGCTCTGGGGACCTCTTGAAAGAGGGAGGAGGGAGGCGGAGGAGGAGGGATCAGGAACAAGAAAGGAGAAAGGACGAAGAGAAGGACAATGAGGATGACGACTAGGAGAACAAGGACTAGGGGACCAGGAGAAGGAACAACGAGTAGAAGAGGAGAAGGATGAGGCGGACGAGGACCACGACACCCTGGATGGCTCCAGGTAGTCGAAGATGGCCTCCAATATGGAAACCAGAAAGCCCAAGTTCGACCTAGGTAGCTTCCAACATGCGTCAACCAAACGTCAATATAGCGATAAGATGCTAGAGGCTGCCACGGAGCTTCACACGGATGCACCCAAGAAACAAACTCGTTCATACACCGAAGTAGTTTGAATGATGTTAGCCGTCGCGGTTGTTCCCTCCCGATTGCCTTCGAGACCTCGAGATGGCACAATCGAGTCCCAAGGAAGGCCCTAGAACTCCGAAGGCCTCCAATCATACCCGAATAACGCACCAAGATGCGATTTTCCTGGCCCGACGGAGCGAGGCAGCGAGGGTAATGAAAGCCCTCCTCTTTTTTGGCCGATGGCTTCTAGGATGGCGCCCAGGGGGCCACCCAACGGCTGGCATTAAGAGAGCCTCAAGAGAGCCTGCGAGGCTCCCAAGAGGGCCTCGACGGAGCCCCAAGATGGCTGCAAGACGCCCCATGGGGTGTCTGCGTTCAAAATGTGGTTCTCTTTGTTTCACTGTATGCCTATCGATTCCCATTCTCCCGACAGTTCGCCTGAACACATTTCCTGGATGTGCTGGCGGGGATATGCGAAGCGTCAAGGATCCACGGTCGCGCTGCAGCGCCTAAGGTCAGCGCATACCCACGCTCTCCGCCAGCCGAGGGTCGCGATGCTAATTCTTGGGCGTGTTGGGGCCATGTGGGCCAGTATTGGGGTGAGTCCTCTTGTGGCCCTCGCTTGGCCCCCTTCCCTGGGTCATCTTGGACAAACTTTGGGCCCTCTTGGATGGACCCCCTTGAGCTGCCGTGGGGCCTCCTGGGGCACCTTTGAGCACCTCTTGGGGCATCTTGGGACAGCCGTGGGCAATCTTCGGGCCGTCTTGGGCGGTCTCGGGGCCCTCTTGGGCGGTCACGGGCTCCTCTGGACGCCATCCAAGGCCCTCTGGGAGCAATCCTGGGCTACCTTGGAGCCCTGGCAAGAGCTCCTTGGCTCCTCCGAAGCCCTCTTGGAGCCATGTTTAAACGGAAAATGCAAAAAAACCTAATCGTTAAAGACAAAGAATTGCCTGAGCATTTGACATTTAGGCAGTCCGGAGGTTCTCTCGGGGCCCTCGTGGGGCCTCTTGGGGCCGTCTCGGGGTCATCTTGCGGCGTCCAAAGCCTTGCGGGGCCTTCTTGGAATCGTTAGGGAGCCTTCCAGAGTCACCTCAGGAGGCACTGTGTCCATCTTGAGGGCTCAAACGATGATCCTCCAGAATGAGCCTGAGGCCCTCTTTGGGGAGCCCTAACGATCCGGTCTGTCTGCGGCTCCTCCCAGGCCCTCCAGGAGTCATGTTTGGTCAAGATGTGCGGAACCCCATGTGTAGCAATGAGATGTGGAGCCCAGTCGTGAGCTATCTCGGGCCCGTCTTGGGCAGTATGGGGGCCATCTCGGCAGCCTCTTGGGCCGTCGTAGGGACTCCATGGGTTGTCGTGGAGCGCTCGAAACCCGACAAGGCAAGAGCGCTTGAATACCGCAAAAATTGCGGGATCAGCTATGATTCTAGCCTCTGGGGGATCTCTTTGTGGTCATGATAAGGCTTGCAAGCTTGCTTGAGGAGCCTGGGGAGCCTCTAGTGCCGTTGCTTCTGCCTCTTGAGCCATCTGAGTTGAAAATGAGCGCCCAACACACAGGAGAGTTGGGGACTAGCCCCGACCCCATCGCGTTGAGTTGCTAGTCAATTATTGTGAAGTCCATTTGGGATTAGCCTTGAACTTCCCAACACCGTCTCGTTCCGAGAAGGGGCTTCACTCGCCAGCGAAACCGGATAGAATCCGGGGATCCCCTCGACAATTTCTCATTTCTCCAGAAACGGCCCACGCAGAAGGCGCTTCCCGTCAATCGAGCGGCCCTTCTGAAAGAAAACGCTGGGGAGGACCTCAGACCACTCAGGACACCCCGTACGGCAAGTTCGTGTCGTGTCGCCCCTGGCGTTAGTTGCTGACACCGCGAGGATTGTTCAACCTTGAAGATCGGTCGTTTCCGAAACGTCAGATCGTTCAACACCGACCGACTCTGGGTCGCTGGCGGCTTTCAACGGTTAACGCCAGCGGCGGGGTCGCCGCTGGTCGACACGACGCGAACCTGCCATAACCATGGCTGGCCCGAATCGTGCTCGCCCGCAGCCTGCAGCCTGCTCCTGCCGACCACCTGCTGCCACACCTCGGCCAGCTGGGCCTGATCGAGCACGTCCCCGGGGGCTCGCGTGACGAGGTCCACTTCGGGGTCGCCGTCCGTCTGCGCGCAGAGCTGCCGAAGGCACTCCACCTTCTGCGGTGGGCGAGGCGAGGCACCGACAGCTGTACGAGAAACGCGGCTGTGCACCATGCCATGTCTGGCTTCCCTTCGGGCCCCGCTCTGACGCGGTACGGTGCAGAGTTTTTCCGCTCGGGAGAGCGAATCACTATGCACCGTACCACTCCTGGGTCGAGGATCGACGACGCCTCGGGAGACGCCAACGCGGTACGCTGCACACAAGTCCTCTGCGGAATACGTCCAGAAGGACGGCCCTGTGCGAGCTCGGCGGTTGGGCGGGAGCCCGGGATAATTACCTGCTGGATCCCCGTGTGGCTCGTGAGTGGGAAAGCACGCGGATGGGGAGGGAGGGAAGGCGACGACAACGACGAAGAGCGTTCACTGGCAAAGAAGCTGGTCTTCTTCGGTTTCTCCTCGGGAAGGAACCGGCTACTTGGTGGCTTGGTGGCTTCTACAACTACCTCGGCCGGCTTCTACTTGGCAAAGAAGCTGGCCTTCTACAGCTACCTCGGTGGCTTGGTTTCCTCCAGGTTAACCACTGTCCTCGTGAATCTCTTTGCGCCGCGGAGAGGGCGCTGGGCCCCGGCCTTGCAGGAGAGTGACCACGAGCTCTCTCCCGGCGGGTGGCGCAGAGGAGCCACGACTCACGCTGGAGCAGGACGCGTCCGCCGATTCGAGTCGACCTTGAGTCGAACCTGAGTCGAACTTGAACCGAACTTGAGTCGAACTGGGGTCGAACAGATCCGTTAGGTGGGCTCCAGAAAGGTCCCTAAAACGAGCATCTAACGTTTGGCCCCATCCGGGGAGGCGAAGTCTCATCTGGACGGCGCTCCGCTGCGCCGCCCCTAGGCCGAGGACGTGCCCACGGCTGTGCGGCTGGCAGCGCCCACGGGGGCGGCTTGATCACCTGACTTCATACACCGCGCCCCGCCACGCGCGACGCGCGGTTACCTTCACGCCCTCGCGCCGCCGCCTTGGAGAAGGGCGCCTCTCCAACCCAAGCCGCGATGCGCGGAGCGCGAATATCTCCGCGCCCCTGGGGTGGCCTGGACTTCTCATCCGGACGGCCGCGGGATGTCGCTCGGCTAGGACCCCCTTAAGCCCAAGGAATGGCGACAGTCGTGCACTTGGCAGCACCAGGAATGCGAGGTCCCATCCTCCGTCCGATCTGCTCCCTCCGCTTCCACCTCCCTGTTCCTCCGCCTTCTCGTCCAGACCGTCGCAAGCTTCTGCCTGCCCGATGCCTTCTTCGCACTCGTAAGCACTACCATGCCTGTCCTCGTCAGCGCCACCGCGACCTCTGGGAAGAACAGGCCGAACAACCAGTGGATAAACGCGGTCGACTTCTTCTGCGAGTCCCCGGGCCCCCACTGGAGGCACCAGGCTGCGGAGGCAGAGCTGGGACTGTTGCTGATAACCTTCCCATCAGACCACCCAGCGATTGGCGTCGGATAGGGTTCACGACCCATCTGTCTCATGATCTCGATGCCTATATCTCAATCTCCGTTGCTATCGAGCCCTCTACCGAGTCATATTTTGATGTCCCTGTAAACCTATCGGTAGCGATCGATGTGACCACATAACTGTCTCTCTGTCAACCTACCGATAAACTCAGAAATTCTCGGCAGATCGCAATACATGTTGATTTCACAATATACCTACCGATACCACTTTAAGTATGTATATAGGTTGGTTTAACGATCTATCATCATGATACAACTGTTGGGCGCGTGGGATTCGGACGGCCGCATTGCAGAACGGCTCCTCAGTCAGGAATGATTGCAGAAGGGTCCTTCATAAAGGATCCCTGCCGAAGAACTCGTTGACAACGGATCCTCCTTAGAGGGTCCTTGGTGATGAATCCTTCATACGGCATCCTTGACACAACATCCTCAATACGGACTCCTACCTGAGAAATTAGTGCTAGGCAATCCGTGCTAAGGAATATGCTTTAAGACATCCTCACTCAGGAAACATTACTCAGGAACCCGTAGTGAAGAATCCTTACTATGAAACCCTTACTTAAAAAAAACCTTACTGGAGAATATGTAATACACAACCCTTCCTAGGGAATTCTGAATAAGGAATCCTGAATGAAGAACCCTTACCGATTAATTCTGCAATTATCCTGGCGAAGGACTCAGCCATATGCAGTTGTGAATACCGCATTTTGGGTACGTACCGCTGTCGGTGGAGCTCCTTCTGGGGCCACGAAGCGCGTGAGGGGTGTCCTGTAATGGGTGGGGGAGACGCATGCGGCCGCGGCCACTGGGGTCTTCAGTGGAGCTCCCTTTGAGGCCACGAAGCGCGGTCGTGGCCACTGGGGTCTTCGGTGGAGCTCCCGATGGGGCCACGAAACGCTGTACTGGGCGGGGTGGGGCCATGCGACCGCGGCCACTGGGGCCTTAGGTCGAGCGGGAGGTGGGGGCGCATGTGGCCGCACCCACTAGGGCTGGCTCCGGGGACGCATGCGGCCGCAGCCAGTGGGGCTTTAAGTGGAGCTCCATATGGGGCCACGAAACGTGCGAGTGGTGTGCCAACATGGGCGAGGCGGGGACGCATGCGGTCGCAGCCACTAAGGCCTTAAGTGGAGCCCCCAACGGGGCAATGAACCGTGTGAGGGGTGTGCCGGAATGAACGTGGCAGACGCATGCGGCCGCATCCACTGGGACCTTAGGTGGAACCCCCTACGGGGCCACGAAACGTGTGACGAGTGTGCTGGAATTGGTGTGGCGGGCGCATGCGGCCGCACCCACTGGGGCCTTAGGTGGAGCCCCGTAGGGGGCAACGAAGCATGTGAGGGGTGTGCCGGAAGTAGTGTTGCGGACGCATGCGGCCGCATTCTCTGGGGCCTTAGGTGGGGCTCACTGTGGGGCCACGGAACGCGTGAGGGGTGTGCCGACATGCATGCCGCGGCCGCGTGTGGCCGCAGCCGCTGGGGCCTTAGGTGGAGACCCCTACGTGTGAAGGGTGTACCGAAATTGACATGCGGAGGGCAGAGGCAGATATCGGAGGAGGGAGGATGGCGAGGAGGAGGGGAAAAGAAGGAGACGCGGGGCGCCGTCTCTTCAAAACAAAGACCCAACACCACAGGTCGGTTGGGGAACAAATCCTCACGGTAGAACCCTTACAGTCAACGCGTATCATAAGGATGCGCGAGAAGGATGCAAGGGCTTTGGAAGGCCATGTCGACACCCTGCAAGCGGGGCGGCCAGCGAAAGCAGCCGAGGATGGGCCGAAGGGGCAAGGATGCGAGGGTACCCTTGGGAAGGTTGCCCATCCTTATTATGCGGGTTGACTGTAAAAACAAATAGATTAGAAAGGCTCATTAATGAGCCATTACTGAAGAGTCCTTCGTAAAGAATCCTTGAGAGGCGGGGGGCTCGGCTTCTCAAGACATGTTCTCTTGTTGCTGAAATGTTAAAGCCTCGGCTGGCCAGCTGGGCAAACGTTGAACAATTCGTTCTGCAATATTCTACAACGAGGGTAATCCCACCAGCCCTCTGGGCGTAGGTGGTCTAGGGCGGCTCCTCTTCCAACCCCCTTCTTCCCCTTCGGGGAGGGGTTTATCACTGTTCTTTATTAATATACACCCCCTCCCCCAGGCGACTGGGGGCCAACCAGGCACCATGCCGACACCATGCCCACCCGCCCCCCACCATCCCTGTCAAAAACAATACAAACCGCACTCTGCCTCTACGTTTGGAGCATGCGCGGCCAACCCGATGCGCCCCCACCCCCCCACCATCCCTGTCAAAAATAACAATGCAAAATACACTTTGGGGCAAAGTCTTGAATCATGTTCGTGAGGCCCGCGAGCACTTCGTCTTGTTTTTGACAAGGACGGCGGGGGTGTCAACATATTCCCTGCTGTGCACAAGGCTACCACCCCTGATAACAAAACACACACACACACACAACATGCACCTCGCGGCTAAATCTGGATCATGCGCGGCCATCCCGCGATCACTGTCAAGGGTTTTTGACAGGGACGGCGGGGGTGGTGGCGCGAGGCCTGCTGTGCGCAGGCCCAGCAGACACAATGATGGGCATCGGTTTTCGAACAGGACGGCGGGGGCCGACATGTTTATCGATGTGTGCTGTCACGTGCGCAGGCCCCGACAGCGGCGCAACTGGCGCGGCTGGAGTGTGCGGCACACCTGGCGCACTCGGAGCACGTGGCGCATCTGGCGCACAAGGCGTGCCTGGCACGCTCGGGCCCCAGGGATGCCTGGCGCGCGGCGCCCCTGGCACGCGTGGCGCACCTCGCCCAAACGTCGCGCACCTGGGGTCGGCTTTGGTTCCCAGTAGCTGTCCATCCAAAGACGACCGCTGAACATACCCAGGCTCGGGTGTTACTTATGTGTAGGGAAGGCGGGTGGGCGTGAGCTAGACGGCTTGCGGGCGGGTGGGTGTCTTAACCACTCCCTCTACCCCCTCCCCTGGACCTGGACGGGGGGTTCCGCGAGCGGTCAGGGCGTCCAAAACGGCCTCGACGAGGAAGCCAAATTCATTGGTTTTACTATGGTTTTGGCCTCACTCTTGGGGGGGGGCGGGCAGCGCTAAAAGGAGCTCCCCTCTTATTGGATCGCTCTCCTCCAAGATGGCCCCAAGAGGCGCCTAGGATGCCCCAAGAGGTCCCAAGATGGCCCCAAGAGGCCCCCAAGTGGCCCCCTGGAGACCCCCAAGGGGACCCCCAGCCGACGCTTCAAAACATAGAAACAAACATAGGTCGGGAGAGCCCGACCCCCCCGCCCCCCTAAGAATGATTCAGCATTAGTGCGGTTTCCTTGTTATGAGCAATGTCTGCTCTTTTGTTTGTTTCCGACTTTTTCAGCTTGAGACGCCGTTCGCTGACACCTCAGGTCGCACCTCAGGTCGCGTTGGGCGCTTCGTCATGGCTCAGTGGCAGGGCTCGCTCGTGCTAGGGCTTCTTGCCGAGAAGCATGGCATTGCGAAAATGTAGGGTTCCCCGAACTCCCAGAAGCACGCACACACATATGTTTATGCATATGTTTATTTACACACATATCGGACACACATTCATATACATATGCATGTATATATATATATATATATATGTGTGTGTGTATCGGCCACAATGCACACATTTACATATACAGATCGGTACCCCTTATTTAGCAATCGATATCACTATCATCTACCTGTCGATATTACCATCTTTCTATCGGGACAATCATCGGGATAACCATGGGGACAACCGACGGGATAACCGACGGGAGACAACCTGGGGACAACGGCATATATCAATCGATTAGTATTTCTACTAACTTGTCTCACTGTATGTAAGTTATATGTACCTATAGGTGTACATGAGCATGTACATGTATAGACACATATGTATACACATATATACATGTGCATCGGTCTCACAGTCTGTCTTCTCACTACTTACCAGCTCCATATCCATCACACACATATATATACTGATATCACTTGCTCTCGGTCTTACGATTCATCAACCGATCTCACTAAGTATCCATCTATCTGTCGATCTCTTTATCCGTAAGCTATGTATCGGGACATCTGTCTGGACAATACCGGAAGGACCAACGGGACAACCTACGGGACAACCATCGGGACAACCATCGGGACAACCATCGAGACAACCATCGGGACAACCCGGGGGCCACCAGGAGCAACTGGGCGACCATCGGGACAGGGGGGCCCTTTTGGACCCCACCTGTCCCGAAATAGATTAGGAACTCGCGCAATTTCGCCGAGTCTCGTCCGCACGCACGTCACGCACGACACGAACGAAACGAAATGACTTCCCAGCTGGGGCGCCTCACGTTCCACTTCGGTTTCACACAACCGGACCTTCGATTACCTGGGTGACTTGATTTCGCGCATGGCGCCCCGCGATGAGCTTCGCGACCTCGCACCTTCGCGCCGCCCCCCTGAAGACGGGTAGCCTTCCTGGCCCCGCGACACGCGCAACTATCTTCGCGCCCCACTCGGGTGACCTCCGATTACCTTGGGTCCCCTGCTTTCGGGCTGCACGAAGCGCGCTCGCCTTCGCGCCCTCGCGCAGAAACCCCTCGACGAGAGCCGCTCTCCAGCCCAGGCCACGAAGCGCGATCGTCCTCGCGCCCCGCCTCCCCCTTTGCGGACGCCCCCGACGGGGATGTAGTCGAGCGCCGTAGCGCAGAGTGCATGTTCTGATCTCACAAGGTTCTATTTTTTGAACGAACACACCAAATGACCAATGAACGCAAGCCCGGGCACTAGAGGCAGTGAAGACGAACACCTGATCTCTCTTGATTCTAGCATCGCTGCCCCACCTGCCGAGGCCATCTTTCTGATCCGCTGCCACTGCCGTCGCCAGCGAGAAGCGAAGAGGATTGAACTGGAGCGGAGCCACACGAGAAACACGTGGGGAAACGAAGGCCGACACCTCCTCGACCTCGCGCGGGCAAACATGGGGCATGCTCTGGAGGAAGAGGAGCATCAGAAGGCTCGGGGGGGGGGGGCTGTCGGAGGCCTCGAGCCTCCTGCAGCTGACTCTATGTGCCACCTGCGTGCAGATACAGACGCAGTGCCCAGCGCTGGAACGCCCACGGCCTGCCTGCCACGGACGCATGCTGGACGTCGTCGAGATCGTGCCGTGGCGTCGGCGGGAGGGCAACCCTTCGCACCGCAGTGTCAGGAGAACCAGGGGGAGGGGGGCACGGGCGGGAGGCGGAGAAGGAAGGGGAGGAGGTGGGAAGCGGCGATCCAGGCCGAAGGCTGGGGATAGTCCACGCCGTCATCGGTCACCTCGGGCGGGTTTCCTCCCCCCTGCTCCCCGCACCCATCATCGCTCATCACTCCTTCCTTCTATTCCTCACTGTCCTAACCTCTCGCCTTCCCTCCCTCCTCCCTCCCTCCCTCCCTCCTTCCCTCCCTTGTTCTCTCTCTCTCTCTATTTGTCTCTCTCTCTCTCTCTGTCTCTTCCTCTCTCTCTCTCTCTTTCTGTCTCTTTTTGTTGTCTCTCTCTCTATTCCTCTACATGTCTATACACAGAGAGAGAGATCAGGATATCTAATTATACATCGATACATATATATATATATATGTGTATATATATATATCAACGATTGTGTATGTATGTTGATATATGCCAATGTGTATACACGCATATACGTATATACGCATGCATTGCTACACACATTTACATCTACGTATACGTATTACACATACACACATACATATACACACGCATATACAATTACATGTGCATAAACATATACATAACCATACACGCATACACATGCACATACATGTAAACGTATGTATACAGTTATATGGGTATCTAAATAGTCGTGCATATATATATATATATATATATATATACAGCCGTATACATACACACATATATACACATGTATGTACATATGCATATGAATAACACTAACATACATATCGACATATACAGACTGGCACACATACATACATACACATAGCATACACATACATGTACACATGTGCAAGCATATACAAGTGCATGTAGAAATGCAAACACCTATACATAAACATATCCATGTACATGCCATTTCTGGCTCTCTTCTCTTTTTACGTATCCACCACCGTGCCGCTGGGCACGGAGTGGGCGTGTCCCCAGGTCCTTTGCCTAACCTTTTAAGCCTCAGTTCTCAGTCCTGAGTACTTTTTTCTAAGGGGCCCGGAGCCGAAATGTGCAAACGCCCCCCCTCAAATCTAGCCGCTACCGCCCCCAAGACCCTCCCCTCGGAACCCTCCCCGGATCCCCTCCGGACCCCCCCGGGACCGCTCCAGGCACCCCCCCAGAAAAGAAGAAAGAGGACCGGAAGAATCGAGGAAGGAGGAGGCCACAGAGCCGCGACGATCACCGAATCCAGAGGAGGCCATTACAATAACAGGATTCCCCATACCTTCCCATATTTTCTGGTTTTTGTCTTCCTCCCCACTTCCAGTATTTTTTCCATATTTTCTGGGGAATCGACGATTCATTGTGTCTGTGCTTTTTCCCTCCTGACAAACATCGGCCAGTGAAAAACTTAAACCCTTGGCGGCATAATGGCCTAAACCATTTCTTGCATCAAACCAGCATGCAGACCACACACACATGCTGCATGATGAAACGCACGATCGGCACAGCTTGGCACGATCAATGCTCGCACTAAGCAAACCAGACGCGGCATAGCACGGCAACTTCTCCGCATTCTGAAAACCAAACACTGCACGGCATAACAACTTCCTCGCACTCAGAAAGCCAAGCACGACGGCACGGCACGGCAACTTTTTTCCGCACTCTGGAAACCGAGTACGGCATCAGACTGCACTGCACGGCACAACACGACACGCGGGCGCGGCACGACACGGCAACTTCGTCGCACTCTCGAGACTGAGCAAGGCACGGAACGGCACTGCACGGCACGCGGGCACGGCACGGCAACTTTTCCGCAGCCTCGAAACCAAGCACGGCGCGACACGGCACGGCGCGCGGTTTCTGCGCGGTACGGCAACTCTGCCGCACTCTAGACACGAGGCGGCTGAGCACGGCACGGCACGGCAGGGCGCGCGAGCACGGCACGGCAGCTGTTCCACATGCTCGAGACAGAACGCGGCACGGCACAGCACGTGGGCGGCACGGCACGGCACTGCACCCGGGGGCACGGCCGGCAGCCCGGCCAGCAACTTCTCAGATTCGAAATGATGGGCACGGCACAGCACGGCACGCGGGCGGCACTTCTCAACGCCGCGCACATTCGTGTTAAAAGCTTGCGACGGCTTCACGGATGGAGGACAGGTCGTTTTCAAAATGTGGCTCCCACCTCAGCGCCGCGAACATTCGTCGTAAGTACATGCGACAGCTTCACGGATGGAGGACAAGTCGTTTCCAACCATCATGTGGTGTTGGGTCCTCGCGTCACCTCACCTCACTCCTCCCTCCTCCCATCCCTGGTTTTGCCCTCCGCGCAACAATTTCGGCAACATGCGGGCACACCCCTCACATGTTTCGTGGCACCAGACGGAGCTCCACCGAGGGCCTCCGTGGTGAGTTCGAATGCGTCCGCCTGGCCCATCGGCACACCCCTCACACGTTTCGTGGCCCCACAAGGACCTTTTTACCAAGGGCCACCGTGGTAAGTTCGCATGCGCGCGCCCGATACATGCTGGCACACCCTTCACACCTTTCGTGGCCCCATACGGAGGGCGCTTCAGCGAAGGCGCCTCCGTGGTGAATTCTCATGCGTCCGCCCGACCCATGTCGGCACGCCCCTCACACGTTTCGTGGCCCCATAGAGAGCTCCACCAAGGGCGCCTCCGTGGTGAGTTCCCATGCGTCCGCCCGGCCCATGTGGGCACGCCCCTCACACGCTTCGTGGCTCCAGACGGAGTTCCACCGAACGCCTCCGTGGTGAGTTCGCATGCGTCCGCCCGACCCATATGGGCACGCCCCTCACACGCTTCGAGGCCCCATAGGGAACTACACCGAAGGCATGCTTGGTGATGCGCCCGCCTGGTCCATGTTGGCACAACTTTCACACGCTTCGTGGGCCCGTAGGGAGCTCCAGAAAGGGCTTCCGTGGTGAGTTCGCATGCGCTCGCATGGCCTATTTCGGCACACCACTCACACGCTTCGTGGCCATACGGAGTTCTACCAAAGGCCTCCGTGGTGAGTTCGAACGCGTCCGCCCGACCCATATCGTCACACCCCTCACACGCTTCGTGGCCCCGTAAGGAGCTCCACTATATGCCCCAATGGCACAGTTCGCCTGCGGATCCCCGCCCACCGCATGTCCATGCTGGCACACCCTTCGCACAGTGCGTGGTTCCATAGGGAGCTCGACCGAAAAAAAAACCCGATGACATGGTCACATGTCTCCCCCTGCCCACCGCGTATCAATTTCGGCACACCCCTCATACGTTGCGTGGCACTCTCAAGCATTATGCCCCCTGCCCATCGCATATCCATGTCGGCACGCCCCTCACATGAATCCTGGCCCCACATGGGGTTCCCCTTCCTTCGTCTCCTTTGCCCCATGTATTCACATCTGCATATGGTTGGGGTTTTCGCCATGCTAATTTTCAGAGTGTGATTTTCCCCTTCGCGCCGCGCACATTCGTCGTAACACTCTGCGACACTTTCAGCGATGGAGGGCGGTTCCTTTCCAAAATGCGGCTCTCGCCTTAGCGCCGCGCGCATTCGCCTTACAGCTTTGTGACAATTCAAAGGATTCGTGCGGTTCGGGTTCCAGGGATGGTTTGTTGGCACGTTTTAAGATTGTCAGGGCGCAACAGTTACCTTGATTCGTGGCTTTGAAGTCCCAGGCATGCTCGGGATGATTCAGGACTTCCAAGACCCAGCAGTCAGGTTGATCCGCGGCGTTGAAATCCCAAACAATGTGTTTTAACATAAAGCGTTTGTCTTCTCATGGGCCACTTTCCGCAATGCAAGCAAGGTCTTGTAAGGACCGATGAAGAAGAAACTTGGAGGGAGGGTTTATATCAACGTCGCTGATGCGTTTGGGGTTCATACCGTTCCTCCCCCTCCCCCTCCCCCTCCATCCTCCCTCGCTCCTCCTCCTCCCTCCTCCCTTGTTCCTCCTCCTTGCTCCCTCCTCGTCCGATCGACGGCGGTCTGGAGCCGCGGCCTTCCCCGTGACAATGACCAGGACGTCGTAGGGCCAGAGGTGCGCGCTCTGCGACAGCTTCCTGAAGTGCCTAACAGGCCATCGCTGCACCCACCAGTCCAATGCTGTCCCCCTTGCTATCCCTCCTCCTTCTTTCTTTTGACTCTGGTCGGACTCTAGCGCGGAGGCTGAAGCGTTCTGTCCTCCTCCCTCCTCCTCCCTCCCTCTTCCTCCTCCTCCTCCTCCTCCTCCTCTGACCTCTTACCTGCCTGAGGGGCGGAATCCACATTGCGGAACCCCTATAAATAGCTCCGTCCAGCACGACGGAGGACTAGCCGAAATCCTCGCTCACAGCCCCAACCTGCACCACGTACGCCCACAGTTTCACACCGGATGCTGCACACCACGTCAAAGAACCACAGATGTCACACGCAAGAAGGCGCAACTATGAACGAAATCCCCAGCCGCTCCGGGCTGAACTCCTGTGCCAGAAGACCGCCACCCACCTTACCCAACGCCTATGTTGGCCCAATCGATCAGCGGCCCCGTAGGGATAGCTGGCCGCTCAGCCATCGGCATCTCGAAAATGGGATCTTCACGCCGTAACGCCTCAGGCCCTTGGGCGCCAAGGGCAAAATCGACGCGATCGCGCAGCCGCACAAACGGCTGAGCAGCACAGCGGATGTCCAGCCAGGCCCGCCGCTGCTCCTCCACGGCCGCGTAGAAGTCGGCGTCGGCATCGGCAGCCTTCGCACTCCGATCTTCTTCAGCACCGTCGTCCACCCGCACAAACCCACCTGCGACCACGGCGGCGGCGACAGCGGCGGCAGGGCAATAATCCCCCGTAGGGGCCCGAGCTGCACTGCAGCATGCTTCCGACGGCTGATCGGTGATCCCCAAAGGGCCCAACTACGGCGGCTCCACGTCCAAAGCAGAGAACACGACGGCGCCGCACCTGCACCGCGTACCCACAGGCGGTGGGGGCTGCAGCCAGCCAGCACCCGGCACCCGCGACGAAAGGCGGAGCCGTGGCACGCAGGCCCTCCCCCGCGACGCTGATCTTCTTCGAGCTGCCCACGTCGTCAGGCGCAACCATGTGGAGCGGAAGATGCCGAGCCAAATCGCATTGCTTCTTGATCTGCTTGAAGGTGTCGAGGCTCTCCTCCGACAGGGCAAGAGCTGCATGCAGCGCTCGAAGAGCGTCACCGGGTCGGTGTCGGTGCGCCCCGAGAACGCCATCAGCCCTCCAGTGCAGGAGGAGTGCCTTTCCCAGCGCAACCATCCTCTGCTTGAGCTCCTCCTCGACCTCAAGCGGGACCTCCATCTGAAGAAGAGCTCCGTCGGCGACATCAGCGGCGCGCCTGCTGTCCGTGCCCACAGCCCGCTCTCGGCGGAGACGATGAGACAGCGCGGCAGCAGAGCGATGCGCCCACGTTTTGCCGCGCATTGGCCCACATCCAATCCGTGCTGGGGAGCCTCCCATGGTCCTCCTCCACTGCAACGAAACTCGTGCACATGCCAAGCTGGCTTGAACAACGTGGGTTTCGCCCGCTGGTTGGCGGCTTGAGCCAAAATGGCTACGGACCTCCTCCTCCTCCTCCTCCTCCTCCTCCTCCTCCTCCCTCCTCCTCCCCCTCCTCCTCCTCCTCCTCCTCCTCCTTCTCCTCCTCCTCCTCCTCCTCATCTTCCTCAGCTTCCTCATCTTCCTCTTCCTCCTCCTTCTCCTCTTTTTCCTCTTTTTCCTCTTTTTCCTCCTCCTCCTCCTCATTTTCCTCCTCCTCCTCTTGCTCCCCCTCTTCCTTCTCCTCCCTTGCTCGTCCCCCCCCTGATGTGGAAGAGGCAGAGGAGAGGGTGAGAGGTGCTGGGGGAGGGACGAGGATGGCAGAGGGAGGACGACGGGGCAGGGAGCACGGCGCGGGGAGGTGGCAAGCGAGTGGGTGGGCAGGGAGCGGGGGGTCGAGGAAAGGGGGACAGTAAACGGGCCCAGGGGAGGAGGCAGCGGAATGGGGGGGCAGGGGAATGGGGGGGCGGGGGATTGGGGGGCAGGGAGCGGGCGAGGGGCAGGGGGCAGGGGGCAGGGGGCAAGGCGCGGAGAGGGGGCAGGGGGATAGGGGGGGCAGGGAGCGGGGAGCCAAGGGAAGGGGGAAAGTAAACGGGCCAAGGGAGCCAAACAAGAAATCTGCACAAGTTCGAAGATCCCTAACTCGTCTCCATCTTTTCTGGGCGTCCCTTTCCCCCCTCCATCTCCCATACCTTCGAGTACTTTCGTGGAGGTCGACGCTTCTGTGCCTGTGCGAATTTTTCCCTCCTGAGACCACTGGGGGGACCGAACTTCGAGTGTTGCTAGACATGTAAGGATCCGAACTCTATACACCGACGCTTTTTCCGGTCCCGCACTGAAACTCGCACTGGAAAGCGGATCCTGGTGTATACATTTTGCGTTGTTTCCCCGCGAAAGCGGGGAAATCGTATACATCACACCACCCCGACGTCGTCCCCGACCCTTAAAAAACCTGGGATTGAAAAACAGCCCGCCATTGGTAATGTATATGCTCCAGTTTCCGAAAATGCCTATGGCCCAAGGTGCCCCCAAGATTTCCAGGGACGCTCCCACGGCCTCCAGAGGACCCCTCACGAGGCCCAGAGGGCCCCAGCGGCTGTAAAATTGAGCGAAATGCTGGGGCACCTTGGCCCAGGGGCACCTTCGGCAACCCCCGAGAACTGGTGCGCGCGGTGGGGATCCACCGAACGCCTCAGGAACCCCAGCCGGTCCAGCTGCTGCTGCTTGGGCATCGCCGCGCCGCGCCCCCGCAAGCCCCTGCAGCTCAAGAGCAGCGGTGGCCTCTGACGCGAGCGCCGTCGATCGGGCCCTCGGCGCGATGGAGCGCCGGCGACGGCCAACCTTCCTTATCTAGGTTGGGTGGGTCTCTTCGTTCCCGTTCCCCCCCCACCTAGAAACCCCCCTTTAGGGTTTAGGATTCCTTCTGGTCACAAACTGTTTCCGCCTCCCACCCTCGCAGCGCCGCACCCCCAGGAGCAGAGTGGTCGGCCAAGGAAAAACCGCGCTCGGCGAGATCCCTAATCACCTGGGTCACCCGACTTCGCGCCCCACGCCCCGAGATGCGCGATTATCTCCGCGCCCCCGCGGGTGACCTAGATCACCGCCATCGCGCCTCGCGCCATCGATGGGTATGCGTTTGCGCCCTCGCGAAAGAGACGCTGAGAGAGACCCTTCTCCCCGAGATTTTAACAATCGGGTAGGGAACACAGTGGATCATCTATGCCAGGGTGGCCTCCTGGGATAAAGCCGAAGCCAGGATGAGAACAACATCGGGTTGCGACATCGCTGTGGGGCGACTTTGTATCCTCGTTTCAAGCCTGCTGGATCTCCCGTCCCGAATCAGCCTCCCTGGACTCCAGGGCAGATCCCTGGCCAGACTCGAAGCGCGCCCTGGTCGGCCACGGCGGCCACGACCCCTGCACACACACACACACATACACACACACAAACACATAAACGCACAGACACACAGACACACAAACACAGAGACACAGGCACAGGCACAATTTATGGTCTGCGGGGCGAGAGCGAACCTCTTCCGGTAAAAGCTAAGCGGGCTACGCACAGCTCCAATTGGGGAGACAAGGCACAGGCGGGCGGGGCCTCAGGCGGCCGGAGGGCGGGCCGGGGTGCAGGCGGCGCCGAAGAGCTTGCACAGGAGAAGGAACGCCTTGGACAGGAGCCGGAAGCGAAGATCCAGAGGGTGAACGGTGTGGTGTTGCCGTCAACGGCGCTCCGTAAACACCATCCTCAATTGCTGCATAGGAGGACGTTGTACACGACCAGGTCGACGTGCAGGGGGGGAAAGTCCACCATGAAGGCGATGAGCAACGTTGTGCCACCGGATGGTGAGGAGGGGGCCCATGAGAAGAGGAGGACCACGAAGGCGATGCGCAGCGTTGTGCCACCGGGTGGTCGAAAGCGGCCTGGGGTGGTAGTCCAATCCACGTCCAGGGAGCAGCCAGCAAGACGTACGGCCAGAGACAGGGCCGCAGGCACAGGCACAGGCACAGGCACAGGGCACAGGGCACGGGCACGGGCACGGGCACGGGCACGGGCACGGGCACGGGCACGGGCACGGGCACCGGCACGAGCACGGGCACGGGCACGGGCACGGGCACGGGCACGGGCACGGGCACGGGCACGGGCACGGGCACGGGCACGGGCACGGGCACGGGCACGGGCACACGCACGCACGCACGCACGCACGCACGCACGCACGCACGCACGCACACACACACACAAACACACACACACACACACACGCACACACACGCGCGCGCGCACACACACGCGCACACGCGCGCGCACGCACGCACGCACGCACGCACGCACGCACGCACGCACGCACGCACACTTTGTGGGGGCAGCGGCCTCGCGCGCAGCGACGAGGCGGAGAAAACGTACAAACAGCGCGCGCGGCGGCCAGGCCCTCAATCATCACTTAGGATGCGGTCCTACCAACATCAGCAATCTAGGACACACACACACACATTCTCACACGCACAAGCACATCGACAAACCCCAAGACTCTTGGCAGGTTCCTTGCAAAACGCCTCTTACCAAGAGGCCTCTTGGAGGCCCCAGGGGGCCCTCAAGCAGGTCCCTGTGAGACAAAGGAAACATGCACAACACATAATGAAGTGTATGGTTTTCCTTGGTCGCATGGCTTCGTGCGCCACACCGCGCGAAGCGCGTGGCGCGGTCATTTTCTGGACTCCGCGACGCCCGCTGGAGACGACCAATTCCCCAGGCCAGACCGCGAAGCGCGAAACCGCCCGGCGATCTTCGAGCCAACGCGGGGGAACTATAGGACCATGCGAGGCAACTTACAAAAACATGGAGCGCGACGGCCGTGCTGCGCGACAGCGCGATTGTCGATTCAATGGCCAAGGTTTCCCTTGCCCGTGTATCGAATGGCTTCCTCCTCTTCTGCCGCCTCCTCCTCCTGATCATCATCAACACCACCGCCACCACCATCATCATCAGCATCGTCACCATCATCATGGTCATCGTCACCACCATCATCATCGTCATCACCATGATCACCGTCATCATCATCACCATCACCATCATCATTGTTGTTTTGCCCCTGTCTCGCCAGTGAATGAGAGTGAGAACAACTCTGAGCGAGAGCAGGGTGCGTGTACTTATACACAGAGAAAAAGGGAGGCAGCGAGGGAGGCAGGTCAGGAAAGAGACAGAGAGACACAACATACATACATACATACATACATACATACATACATACATGCATACATACATGCATGCATCCATACATACATACATACACATACATACATACATACATGCATGCATGCATGCACACAACCATACATACATACATACATGCATGTATACATACATACATACATATATACATACAGACATACATACAGACGTACATACATACATACATACAAACGTACATACATACATACATACATACATATATACATACACATACATGCACATACACATACACATACACATACACATACACATACACATACACATACACATACACATACACATACATACAATCAGACATACAAACAAACACACATACCTACATACATACATACATGCACGCATGCATACATGAATGCATGTATGCATGCATACAGCATACATACAAACATACATACATACATATACATACATCCATACATGCACACATACAACATACATACATACACATATACATACCTACTTGCATACATACATAAAACATACATACGTACATACATACACACATACACACATACACACATACACATACATACATACATACATACATACATACATACATACATACATACCAACATACCAACATACCAACATACCAGCATACCAACATACATACATGCATACATACATACTAGAACCATCGCGCGCGCCTCGCGCGCGGTCAAGTTCTAGCTAGCTTCTTGGGGCCTCCTCGGAGCATCCTGGACTGCTTCTTGAAGTCGTCATGGGACCTTCTTGGCATGTCTTCGGGGGCCTCTTAGAAAGAGTTTGAAGCCTTTTGGGTGCCGTCTTGGGGCCTCTTGGAGCCTCTTTGGGGCTTCTTGGGGACCTCTTGGGGCCTCTTGGTGGCCTCTTGGGGCCTCTTGGGGGCTCTTGGGGCCTCTTGGGGGCTTCCTGGGGGCATCTTGGGACCTCTTGTGGACATCTTGGGGCGGAGAGCTTGAGTTTTCAGTTCGCGTTCCTTCTCTTGGGCCCCTCTTGGGGGCCTCTTGGGCCGTCATAAAGCGGTTTGGGGAGCCTCTTGGGCGGTGCTCTAGCGCCAGAATCACGAAACAGCGAGAATGCAAAGAAACATTGAAAAACAAACAATGAAAATCAACGATTTTGCCCCTCTCGGGGCACTCTTCGGCGGCATCTTAAAAGCCTCCTGGGGCGTCTTGGGGGCCTCCAGGGCAATTTAAACGCATCGTGCGTCGACGGAGACCCCTGGACGTCGTCTTGGGGGTGTCTCGAGACCGCCTGGGGCCGCCGGGATTGCTGTCTGAGGGCTCCCCGGGGCGAGTTTAAGTCTCCCAGAGGCGGGCCCGGGCCCCGGGCCACACATTTGTGGTCGGGGTCCCGGCCCCCAGCCCCCAGACCCGGACCCCCGTTATATGTAAACATACATACATACATACATACATACATACATGCATGCATGCATGCATGCATACATACATACATACATACACACATACGTACGTACGTACGTACATACGTACATACGTACATACATACATACATACATACATACATGCATGCATGCATGCATGCATGCATGCATGCATCCATACATACATATACATATATATATATATATATATATATATATATATATATATATATTTATATATATATATATATATATATATATATAGGTTAACTGCTACATTCGATGGGGAACGTTTTTGTTACCACATGCCATTCGTCTTGGCGAAGCTGGGACGCAACTGACAGCTTGGCGACAGAGCAGAGAGGGAGACAAGGGAGGGCGGGAACCGAAGAAAGGCTATGGAGTCCAGGGGTCCCCCATTTCAATAGGCTCGTTTTTGACCTGTTTCATCAAGTCATTCCGCTCACAACTTTCCCGTGCACGCACTGACTGGTTAACTGCTACATTCGGTGGGGAACGTTTTTGCAACCACATGCCACTCGTCTTGGCGAAGCTGGGACGCAACTGACAGCCCAAACTCCCAAAGGGTTCTCTGGGAGGGCGAGGCGGGTTAAAGGAAGGATGCCGCCTCTTGATCCCTCTGGCGGTACAATAAACAGTTCACAATGCAGCCAGCCAGCTTCGGAGGATACGAAGCTGCCAGATATGTCCACGTGGCCCCAGAGGGGGCCTTGCCTTCCAGGATAACGTGGGGCTTCCCTGAAGCCGAGCAAACACCACCAAAACTGTGGCACCGCCTTTGGACTTTTAAGGTGTCCTGGGGGTCCACTCCGAAGAACAAAAAAACGCGTACGCTTTCTCCACCGGACCCCAAATTGACACTGATCGCACACTCGAGAATGCATGCGATATCGCTCGATAAGAGACTTCAGCTCAGGCGTGTGCCATGCTCTACTGTTTATCGGATGCTCAAAAACAAAGGGCACCTGCGCGCGGGCAAGCGCCTTCATTAATTTCAACGCGGCTCGAAAGGTGGCATTTCCCTGTGAGATTCTTCTAGTCGTATATTCGGAGACGTCGGGGAGGCCCCAAGGAAAATCCTTCGAGCGACCCGGCTGACGACCCCGATCAGCCGCAGTTCCCCAGGACGCACAAGGAGGCCCAAGGGACGCGGCTATCACCTCACGCCTATTTTTAGCGGTCCTAACACGCGCAAGCACGACTGGTCTAGTAAGGTCTTCATTGGGCCCGTTGAGGCTGTCAAAACCATGGTAATTGAAACCTCGCTTCAAAGCAGCTTTACCTATCGAGTTCGAACCCGAGAAAAGATCTAAAATGTACATACGCTGGCGGCCGTACCGCCTCACAGGGTAATTGTCTCTGCACCTTTTCCGAGCAGTATGTCCTCTAGACGTAGTTCGCCCTGTGTCAAAGTATCTTGCAGCCGGGACGGCAGGAGTGACCAGCTTTGACCCAACCTCGCCGCCTTTCCGTAGCGTTGCATCGACTTGGCATGTTTCCACTGGCCTCTTTTCTGTATCTCCTCGATCGTTGTGTATCGTCGAGCGTTGTCTATACTGGGCCCTGAGTGTCTGGCTTGATACGGGACAATGTGCTCCCGATTCTGTAGGTCGCTCAGCGCCTTCTTGAACACTGCCAGAAACTGAAGGTAACTGAACGCCCACACCTTTTCTTCGGGATCCCCTCGTGCGAGCTCTCGGAAGATGGGCATGGCGCACTGAAACCATCCGCTGTCCAACATCGCCCCGACGTCCGACAGTCCTGTTTTGCTTCTCTGGGGCTTGTCGTCTGGGAACAGCAGCAGCGACCACCAGCGGCGCACTCCCATCGCAGGCGCGATGATGTTGCCTCTCGTCAGCGTCAGCAGATGGCTGGGCCTGAAGTAGCCGGAGACCATCGTGAGCAGGAGCACCGCCATCTGCAGCGCGCCTCGCACCACCATGCGCCAAGCGAGCCCGCACCAGAGGGCCAAAGGCCATGCGCGGCGGCTCTGTCCGGGCGCCAGCTTGCGCCATCCTCGGAGGCACCTCCAGGCCCGAGGGGTTTTGGCCTCGCCCTGCTTTGAGAACTCCGGGAACCTGTGCATGAGCCCTGCCATCACCTAATCGCCCTCGGCGCTCTCGTGGCCTTCGAAGAACAGATGGTTCATGTAGTCGACCATCGCCCCGTCCACCTCTGAGGCGGTGGTCAAGGCCCGCTGCGGGCCCCGATCGCAATAATCCAGGAAGGCTTCCAGCTCTTGAGTGTAGTGGCTCCTCGCAGGCCCGAACACCGACCGCCTCTCCAGGAACGTCTGGCCCTCCACCGCCGTGCTGTCCTGCGCCGCCTCCGCGCCGCACGCACGTCGTCTCCGAGTTGCCCTCCTCAGCAGCTCCCTCTCGCGCCTCTCGCCTGCTGGCGCGACCTGCTGCTCGTCGGAGGTGCTGCTGCCGTCATCGCTGTCGGCCGCGATCGGGCGCGACCAGCCCTGGGGGAGGGCTTGGAGGTCGCGTTCGTGCTCGGGCAGCCTGGGCGCTGGCGGCAGCTCGGCCGAGCTCAGCCTGGCCTGCCAGTCCTGCGCTCTCTGGGCCGCGGTGAGCCTCGGCAGGCGCTGCGGCCCTCGAGGAGTCCTGCTGCCCGATTCTCGCGCCACCAGCTGTCGGGAGGTCGGCGCTGCAGGCTCGGCCGACGCGGCCCTCTCCAGCAGACGCGGTCGCCGCGCCGGAGCCCCGGGCGAAGGCGGCGGGGCCTCCCGCCGCAGTCCTCGGCGCAGCATGCGAAGACGAGGGCCCGCCGAAGGAGTGGGCCTGTAAACAGGTTTAAGCCGAAACGGGATACGAGGACGTCAGACCGCACTTCGAATACACGGGCTCAGAGCAAACATGGGCACCAGGAGACCAGTCGGACTCCTTGGGCGACAGGGGCAGAACGAACTGACCTCTCTGAGGGTCACGCTACAAGGGGCACTGCACAGAATTCTCAGGCAAGAAAAAACGGAAGGGAGCGCGAACCTCAGGGGGGCCTTTGAACCTGGACTCCTCTGAAAAAAAGTGTGTCAGGAAGAAGTGCACCAAGAGACTCCTTAGCCCCTTTCTTATCAAAAAACACGAGACCCATAATCGGCGGGATTCAACTCAGACGGAACCCACCTTACAGACACCTTCAGATTTCTTGCGAGACAATAGGCTTGAAACCTACGGACCTGGACGAGGAGAGCAAAATCTTTGGCACGGCTCCTGCTAAAAGATAGTACAACTGACATGTTATCCGTCAAGATCAGTTGACGGCAGGCGGCACCGAGCACAGACTGGGCGATACGACGGGCGCCCATCACCAGCGCTCGGGCCTCCTTGATAAGGATGCCCTCCTCGAATCGCCAGCGCTGCACCTGCTTGGCGCGCCAGCGGCTGCTCGCCAAGCCCGCGGCGGGCACCTCGGGGAAGGACGGGTCTGCCTCCCTCGCGGCGGCCAGCTCGTCGTCGTCGTTCACGCCCTCGGCCAGCCGCCACTCTCCATCGGCGTCGCGCCAGAAGCCAGCCGCCTCCAGCGCCGCCTCCCGCGCACCGCGGCGGGCAGCAGGAGCGCCCCCGTCAGCCCCGTCGGTCTCGACCGCCCCGGGCTCCCGGAAGCGGGCGCGTTCCTGCGCGCGGCCCACCTCGGCCACCAGCGATCGGGGCCAATGGGTGGTCGAGACCGCTCCTGCCTCCAGGCTGCTGTCGGTCGCCACCGCCAGGTCGTTCCACTGCAGCGTCCAGTCGCTCTCCAGGAAGACGAGGAGGCCTCGGAACGCTTCGAGCTCCTGGCGGGCTTCGGGCCACAGCGCCCTCGGTTCGGCATAAGACTTCCGCATGAAAGCGTAGACTGTATGGAATACGCTCAACGTACCTCTGCTCAGCAATCCCGCAAACGTGCAGTGGCCCACCAGGACCTCGACCGCCCAGCCCGCGAGGCGGCGGCGTCGCAGGAGGCCGTTCAAGGCCTGCCGAATGAGCCAGAACCTCTTCTTCGTCACCCTCGTCTTCCAGAGGGCCCCCGAGACCTCGGCGCCCAGCGTCTCGACCTCGGTGCCCACGGAGTTGCCGTGGAGGAGGATGCCGCGCTGGTCGAAGCCCTCAACCAGCTGCGCGATCGCGTCGGTGACGATGGGCTCGTCGGTGGAGGCCGACGTACACATAGTGCGAGACGTGGCCTCTGGGGACGCTGGGACCGAAGACGGGGGGCCTGCCGCGGTCGGCCAGGGGGCTCTCACGCAGCTGCGGGCAGATAGAGCTCGCCTGGTACTCGTTGATCCGCTGGGCAGCCCACAAGCTCCACGTGAAGCCCATGGGGAAGACGGCCCAGCACGGACTCACCAGATCGTGCCTCTCCAGTGTCCTGCCCTCCCAGATCTGGCCCTCCGCGCCAAGCAGGTACGCTGGCACGACGGGAAGGCAGAAATACTCGGAGAGCCACCCAGGAAGTCGCAACCTGTGGAAGCAGTCCTTCACGTCGGCCAGGCCCACGCGCAAGGAGTAGCTGCCAAGGAGCCGCTCCGCCTCCTCGCTCCAGGGGCCCAGGCCATCTGGCAGGGCGATCTCGACTCGGCTGAGGCCCTCCGCGCTCAAGAGGCTGACGCTCGGCGGCGGCTCGAATAGAAGGTTCGCGGGCCTGGCGTCGAGGATGAGCCTGAGCCGCTGACCTCCGTCCTTCTCGACAAAGAAGAGGCCGACCTGGCATCGCGGGCGCGTGGTCCAGCCCGCCAAGCCGCGTCGGCGCAGGTCGCTGATGAACTGTCTGTAGGTCTTCACGCTGCGCTTCAGCGCGGGGTCGAAGTAAGGTGTCACGGTAGAGGAGGGACTGTCAGCGCGCAGCATGCGCTCGGGATGCTCCTTCAGGAATCGCTGGACCTCTGGAGGGGCCACGTCCTCAAACGGCGGGCAGCCCTCCACTGTCTCGGGGAACGAGACAAGGCCCTTTCTGAAAGGCGCGACACGGGTGAGGCACCCCGTCCCATCGTACGGTGTGTGCCCTCGCAGCAGCCGTCGGACGGCCGCGCGTTCGCTGAGAGCGTCAGGACCTGGGTGCCGCCGCGAGGCTAACTCGCAGATCCGCTCCAAAACTTCAAGCTGCATCGGGTCGGGATCGAAGTAGGTCGGTAACCCAGCAAGCCAGTTCAAAGCATCCACCGCCTCGTTACCCATCTTGAACACCAGCCTCTCGCGCCGCCGCAGGGCCACTCCGAATGGAGCCGGCCACGGGCAGCTCAGGCAGGCGCCAGCGAGGCAGCGGGAAGAGCTCCCTGGCACAGCGCGAGGCGGCAAGCCGACCCCGCGCCACCCCTGAATCTCGGCCGGGGACGGGGTCCCCCCCGGCCGTGGGGGCCATCATTGCCCCTTGGGGGGGGCGTCAGCCCCCCCCGAGCCTCCCTTCTGGTTATTCGGTGGCGGGCGCCCTAGCCGACCCTTGCCGCCATCGTCGTTGGTGCCGTCGCCCTCGGCGCGCTGCGGGCCCTTGCCGCACGAGAGCACCGCCTGGGCCTCCTGCTGCTCCTTGATCTTCCTGGTAGCGAACTGCAGCAGGGCCTGACCCGCGATGTCGTCCGAGGACGCGGCGCCGGTGTACAGGCGGGCGCGGCCCCACACAGGCTTGGCCGGGTCGGAGTGCACCGCCACCAGCCCTGCGATCCTCCTCGCCGCCGTCTCCAGGCCCATCAGGCCGCCTAGATTCACCTGGTCGTAGACCGCGGCCCAGAAGAGGATGTCGCAGAGGACGCGCATCTCGTGCGCCACTCTGTCATTGTCGCCGATGCCTTTGGACCTCAAGAAGTCCCTCAGCCAGGATCTGGGGTCGCCGTTCGTACGCTCCATGTTCTTGCATACCGTCAAGGCCGAGGCTGGCCCCTCGATGGGCTGGTCGGGGAAGGTCTCTTGCGAACTCTCTCGGCGGGCGGTCCTGAAGGGCTTGCACCTCTCTCCCTGCGCGTCGTAGTCCACCTCCAAGATGCGAAGATCGCCGCCGTCGCCGCCCCCAGCCCCGGGCGGAGGGGTCGCCGCGCCGCCGACCTCGTCTGGCTTGCCAGCACCTCCGGCGCCCGCAGGGCGGCCCAGGCGCTCGCGGAGGTCTGCCATCCCGGCGGGGGCGGCTCCCTCTCGGTCGGGCTCGGCGGCGGGGAAGTCGCTGAGGCCCATCTCGTGCCGCCGCCTCGCCGCATAGCCCGGGAGGTCTCCCGCTAGCAGGGCCTTCACGCGGCGGGGGCCCTCGGGGAACGCGAAGAGGCCCACCAGCGCGGTCGCCGGCACGAAGCGGTCATCGGAGCGATCCACGGCGGTGCCCACCGCCGCGCTCTCCGTGGGCTCGGCCACCACCCAGACGCGGTCGTCCTCCAGCGGGGCCGCGGGCTGCCTCCCTCGCTGCCGTCGCAGCGCGGGCCGCCTCACCTCGCCGAAGAAGTCCGCCCGCTCCACTAGCCTGTCGCCCGGGCACGCCACCTCAGCAGGCGGCCCAGGCGCGATCCCCGGCAGACGCTCCTCCACCAGCGCGCGACCACGCATGATCGCCGCCTTGAGCTCCTCCACCGAGAGGGGCGCCCGGAAGCGGCAGATCGGCCGCGGCCAGCCCTCGGGCGCGCCTCCGCCTGCTGGCATCAGGGCTGCGCCCTCGGGCCCAGTCTCCGGGCTCGCGCCCGTGTAGTCCTCCTCGTACTCGTCGCCGTCAGGTGTCAACGCGGCCCAGGTGCCCGGCGGCAAGCTCGGGTAAAGGAGCACGCGCTCGTGATCCACCTGATCGTCACTATATCTTACGACGAGCCGCTGGCCCAGCAACAGCAGCCTCCACCACTCCAGCCCCTCGTCTCGCGGGAGCAACGCCATCGCGCCCTCCGATCACCGTCTCCGCAGCCTGGGGCCTTCGGCGACAGCAGCCTCGCACGATGCGGTACGCCTCCAGCAGCAGCGCCACCAGCACGCCAGGGACCGCCGCCAAGAGGGCGCCGAGGGGGTCCGCCTCAGGCTCGGCCTGGGCCTGCACCAGCTCGGGGGCCGGGCAGACGGCGGGGGCCGCCTCGCAAAGCGGCGCCTCGGGACAGGGGGGGCAGGCGTCCCCTCCGTCCTCGGGCGGCAGCCACACGGGCGGGCACACGGCCTCCAGCGCGCAGGGCGGCAGCCCAGCCGATGGGCGCGGTCCCGCGGGTGAGAGGAACGAGGAGATGTGGAGAAGCCCCAGCGCGAGGACAGCCCAGTGCCCCGCTGGGACCTGGGCCATCTCGAACCGAAGAAAGGCTATGGAGTCCAGGGGCCACCCATTTCAATAGGTTCGTTTTTGACCTGTTTCATCAAGTCATTCCGCTCACAACCTTCCCGTGCACGCACTGACATAGGCGCGTTCACCTTGGACCGCGCGCGCATCCCACCCCTTCGACCAGATTATTTGGGGTGGGATGCGATGGTGTGCGCTCACGACGCTCGTGCGCCAACCCCCTTCCGACTCGGTTGCGCCCGCGTGAGTTCCATCCTCGCCGCCGCCCCCGCGCCGCCCCCGTAAAATGGGGAAGGCGACATGCGTCGCACCTCCAGCGAATGCATCGGCCTGCGACTATCGGCGAACGACGACGCGGCGCACGACCCACGACGAACGAACGATGACAAACGGGCGAAGACAGACGAACGACGGACCGGACGACGACGAACGACGGACAACGAACGGTGACCAGGACGACGACTCGACGAACGACGAACGGCGAACGAAGGCGAACAGCGAACGATGAACGACGAACGTCGAACGACGCCGCACATGCGGGCGCATCGCAACGCGACCACCGCGCGGGGGGCGGGCGCGGGGGGGGTCTGCACGAGAGGAGATTGACACTGGTTTTCTCGACTCGCGCGTCGCATCGGCGGCGGTTCCGGCGCGCGATTTTCGCACGGGGGTCGACGCGCGGCGCCAAGCAGCCCTTTTCGCGCAATTGACCACCCTTCGATCGGAAGAAGTTGGTAGAACCATGAAGTAGGAAGGCGCCAGTAGAAGACTGGGTTTCCGCCCGTCCCCTGAAGAGGAAAATACGCTCGACTCTTGAAGTAGGAAGGTGGCTGAAGTATACTGGAGCCCGAAGATCCAGAAGTACCTGCTTCCAACGACCAGCGCTTAGCGATCGGGCGCGCAAGCAGGGCCGCGCGTCGCATCCTCGACCCGGAACGCAAGTGCTCGCGCCCGGGTCGGCGCGCAGCGCTGGGCCGTTGTTTCCCCTTTCCACCCGCTCCTTCGCGGACGCTCCGCGAGCCCAGCCGTTTTCTGGGCAACCCCTGGCATCGCCAGCGACCAGCGCTAATAGGAGAAGGGCAGACCCCCCCCCGGAGATCACGTGGACGCGCAAGGCAAACGTCACCTTTTTGGCGTTGCCCCTCTTGCCGAAGCGAACGCCCGTGTTCCAGGTCTCTAGCGCGGTCAGGCAATGCTTCGCTGCTTCTTTGCGCCCGAGCTGGAGTGGCATCGCGGCGCGGAAGATCTAGACCTTCTCAGAACACACGCCACGGGATCCGACTTGTTGACGCATGAGCCCCTCGATGTGACGAGGGCGGTCAAGCCGGGGATGCGCTTGAAACGATTTGCCCCCTTCTTTGCTTCCTTTTACTCGTCGCCCCCTTCGTCTCCCCCCTCTTCGCCCTCTTCTTCCTCGTCATCTGACCCCCCTCCCTCGTCGATGTCTCCCTCAACCGGTTTCTCCTCGCCGCGCGGACCACCGCGAGGCGCCCTGCCTTCCTGGCCTCCTGTTCCCATGCCCTCTGCATCTTCATCGCCCTCGTCGCCCTCGCCCGAAGCATAGCCTGAGAGGTCCCCATCCAGCAGCTCCTTCACCGCGTCCTCGTACATCAGCTTAATTGCGCCCATTGGCGCCCCACCGAGACTCCGAGCGTCGTCGTCGACATCCCAGGGCGCAGGCCCGCCCATGTTCACGCTGTCGCTCGCTGCGCGGAACCTGCCGTCGCTGGGCACACCCGCAAGCCCCCAGCCGTGGCGCCTCAGGCAAGAGTAAACCCACGCGCATGCTGGCTTGTTGCGGTCGGTTGAAAGGATTAGCGGGTCGCCGTCGCTGACGCCGTTGTCTCCTAGAACTCCCTCTCAGGCGCCACGCTCCACTGGCGCCTCGTGGCCGATGATCTCCGTGGGGAACATGTACAAGGTGACTGGTGAATGGGGACA